ATATATATATATATATATATATATTATATTATATATTATATATATATATTATATATATTATTATATTATATTATTATTATATTATTATTATTATTATTATTATTATTATTATTATTATTATTATTATAATAAATGTTTTTATTACTTAATTCTATGAATAAGTTTATAATTTAGTAATCCCGTTAAATTAGTTAATATAATAATTTTATATGTTAATATAAAATGGTGGTAATTACACCAAATCCTATTTTAATTTCTATGTTTGATAGGAAAAATAGGATTTGATGGAGAAAATGGTAAAACAGTGAAAGGGTGGAAGATGCAAATTTCATCACCAAAAACTTTGGTGAAAATATAGAATTTGATAATACTATAATATAGGTTTTGACTACAAGGGGAGATTAAAAACAAAATAGTAATCTAATTATTTAAGCTGAGAGATTAAAAACATTTTTAAAAAATAAGAAATAGTATAGGATGGAAGTTATCCTAACAGTGACAAAACCAAAGTGGGATGATGGGCTGGGCCTGATGTGGTGTGGAATTCGGAGGAGGTCAGCCCTATCCAACATTAAGTAGTTCCATTTGTTTGGAAATCCACATTTAAATAATAGTATTTATTTAGGGATTATTTTGGACACCCCTAGTTTCGAAATTATATAGGATTAACTACCATAAGGATTATATATTAGTGCGAACCTTTCATTTAGAGAATAATTTAACATACCCCTGAGCCACCTTGAAGTACCTAAAATGTCATTTTAAAATTACTTTTAAACTCTAGCCACTCACAGTCCTCTCTCTCTTCATCTCTCAACTCTCAGATTCAAATTTCGCCCCCATAGATCTCCAACCGACGAAGTTGCTTCCCGGAGTCATAACTCTCTCACCGTGGTCGGAATTCGATGGTTTAACTACCGTTGGATTCCTCTCGTCGAGCTCTTTCTTTTCGTGATGATTTCATTCAGTTTGGAGCGCTCAATATTTTTTCTGCAATTATTTTGCAGTCCGTGCATATTTCAACAATGGTGGATCTCGCCGGAGGTGTAATTTGTGTTCCAGCAGTCAGAATTTGACGGATTACCCACCGTTGGATTCATCTTGTAGAGATCTATATTTTGATGGTAATTTAGTTTATTTTTTTATTGTCAAATTTATTTTTATAATTTTTTTCATTTGTGAGCGAAGTACTTTGGGTGGTTAGCGACAACTAGGGTTTTGGTAGGAGGCGCTTGGGGTGACAAGTCATTGGCGGGTTGGTCTAAAATTCGTAGTATTTCGCAGCTACGACCTCTCCCTCTATCTCTCGATCTCCTAGTATTTATTGATTTGAGTGTTTTGATGTTTCTTCAATTTTTGTTGATTTGCACATTGGCTGAAGTTACATCTGCTTCAAGTTACAGTATTCAACAGACTGTATACATTATTATACATTACTATACATTACTAGTAACATGTATTTACATATGCATATATTTGTGTATTTTCGATTTGCATTTTATTGGTTCTGGGGTGATTTATAATACAAATATTGAAATTTATAAATTTTTGTTGTTGGGGTTTATAATTTCTTCTATATAAGCCAGTATTCGTGTGTGTAAATAATTGATCGATTAAAAATATGTTGTAACAAAAAGAACATAACTACGAATGACTATAGTTTACTACAGTTACATGTAGTTACATATGCATATATTTGTGTATTTTCGATTGTATTTTTTTGGTTATGAGGTGATTTACAATATAAATATTGAAATCTGTGAAATTTTTGTTGTTGGGGTTTATGAATTTCTTTTGTATAAGCCAGTATTTGTGTGTACATAATAGATCGACTAAAAATATAGGGTAAAAAAAAGAACATAACTACAAATGACTACTTACTACATTTACATGTAGTTATTTTCAGTACAGTACTGTCCATATTGATTTTACAGAACAGATAATTTTTTTTTAAAAAGTTAAAAAGAAATTAAAAAAATAAATAAATAAAAATTAAATACAAAAATTAATAAAAAAATTAATAAAAAATATATAAATTAAACAAACAGGTTTATAAAAAAGAAAAAAAAAGAAAAAAAAAAGAAAAAGAAAAAAAAAGAAAAAGAAAAAAAAAAAGAAAAAGAAAAAATAATAATAATAAATAAGAGTAAAAAGCAGTTTGCCTCCTAAACTATGGGCCGATTTGCACTTTACCCCCCAAACAAAAAAAATTTGCACGTTTTTACCTAAACTCGTTAATTCGTTGCACGGTGCCCCCTAAACTCAATTTTCCGGCAATTTTGACCGGAAAGTGAAAACATGTGCCTTGCACGTGAGATTTGGAGGGGTAAATTTGTCCCTTCACTTGCATCTTTAATATTAAATACAAATAAATATTTAAAAAGAAAAAAAAAAAGAAAAACAGAAAAGAAAAAGAAGCTGGGGAATATGGGATGAAGATCGATGAGATGGAGAAGTGGAGAACGTCTGTGTGGTGAGGGTGAGCAGTAAGCGGAGAAAATTTTCGTCTCCTCTCTTCTTCGTGTTGTGCCCTTCTTTTATTTTTCTGAACAAATTTTCTCCAATGTTCATTAATGGAGAAAACCAAATCAAAAAGTTGAATATGGAATTTGGCCCCTTCTTCTTCCTCTCTCTCTCTCTCTCTCTCTCTCTCTCTCTCTCTCTCTCTCTCTCCTCGTCTCCACCACCACCCCGTTTTCACATTTCCTCGACCGATCCTCCCCCTTCATCACAGTCCTTTAATTTCTGCCCGGTTTTAAGAAATTCGCAACCAATCTAAAAAAAAATGGCGATAAAAAAATCAAACAAGCTTTCCCAAGCAGCGGTGTTGAACCAAATCATGAAGAGATATTCTAACTTGGACAAATCGACATTTGTTTATGGGTTTTCTGTGAGTTTTCTTCAAGTAATGAGAAAACCCACATCAATAATCTACCTTTTTGTTGGTTTTGTTTGATTTCAATATTTGATACGAAATTTTGGGTCTCTCTCCAGAATCTGATTCTTCGTAACACCCTTGAAAGGAGGAGGAGTGGTGGTCGTCGGAAAATTTTGGAATTTTTTTAAATTATTGTTTGAGATTTTTTTGTGCAGACATGGTTGGGTTTTAGGAAGGAAGGTGGGTGATGGTTTCGTGGGTTTTGACTTTTGGGGATGGAGGTGGGTGATGTGGCCTGGATGACAGCTTGTTTTCCTTTCTTTCCTTTCTTTCTTTTTTCGGTTTTTTTTTCTGTTTTTTTTTTTTTGTCTTTTTTTCCTTTTCTTTTTTTTATTATTTATTTGTATTTAATATTAAAGATGTAAGTGACGGGACGAATTTACCCCTCAAAATCTCACGTGTAAAGCACATGTTTTAACATTCCGGTCAAAATTGCCGGAAAATTGAGTTTAGGGGGCACCGTGCAACGAATTAACGAGTTCAGGTAAAAACGTGCAAATTTTTTTTGTTTGGGGGGTAAAGTGCAAATCGGCCCTTAGTTTAGGGGGCAAACTGCTTTTTACTCTAATAAATAAATCAGCGAAAATGATAAATGCATGACTAGAAATGTTGAATGCAGTATAATCAAAAATTGCATATAAGGGTAGTATAGTACTTTCGCCTCTCCTATGGGGTATGTTAAAAGAAGAATCCGACTTGAGTTTATCCCTAGTTTAGTAGCCACTTATAAAATAAGCCCATCTATTTATTATTACTATGTAGTATTTACTTATTCTTTCGAACCTGCACCCGATGATAAATATTGGGTGAGTCTACTCCTATCACGTAGAATATTTAATTATCTATTATATATTCACGCACTTTGATTTATCTATAGGGATTTTAAAAAAATACAAAAAAATCTACGTGACAGCAATAAACAGTATTTATCACCGGATATAGGATCTAAGGGGCCCTATTTACCGATGATGTTGTGAATGTGATGGTGCACAATAAACTAAAACACTTTTTAATACAAGTAATTCGTATTTCCTTAAATTAATGACAATTAATTAAAGTTTAAAAAATATGAAATACTTAACTGAAGTTAAATCGATTTAAGGATTGTAGTTGTCTAAATGTATTGGAATCATGTCCAACATGTTGTCGAAGAGAAGAATCTGAGGAAAAGAAAAAGAAGGTCATTTAACAAATAAACTCATCGATGTGTATTTATTTATAAAGGGGTTTAGATAAAAAATTTTTTTTTACAAAAAAGTCCATACATTGTCCAGAAGTTTGTAAAAGCCTGAAATAGTCCATCACATTTTAATATGCTCCAATTTCATCCTTTAATTTAATTTAACTTCAATTTGATCCCAAATTTCACAAATTATTTAATTTTGATCCAAAATACAATTTTGAGTACAATTTCGTCCGTTACCGCAATTGACTCTTTTTTTTAACATATTTTTGCCCCCGTTTAAACAACAATATTGTTGTGGTTGAAAGTAATATTAACTATATTACTGTTAAACACAATAATATTAACTCTACTACAGTTTAACACAATAATATTGCTATATATATATTAATCTTTAGCACAGTAATATTAACACAACAAAAGTCATTATTATTGTATAATAGAGTAATATTAATATGTTGACCGTTCAACAAATGTAAACATAAAAAAAAGGCCAAAAGAATTAATATTAATGTGGTTGACAGTAATATTACTGTAACAATAGTCATATTACCGTCAACCACAGTAATATTATTGTATATACAGTAATATTATTACGTTACTCTGTCAACAACTCAAACAAAACAAAAAAACCCAAAAAGTTAATACTATTAATGTGGTTGTAAGTAATATTATTGTGTTTACAGTTATTTTACTCTCAACGATAGTAATATAATTACGTTGACTTGTCAACAAATCAAACAAAAAAAACCAAAAAAATAATAATAATGTCGCTGACTCTAATTGTACTGTCAACAAAAGTACAATTACATAAATGTACTGTCAATAAATATACTGTCATTACAATACAATTACATTAATTTACTGTCAGTGACAGTTGTAGACACGTAAATTTAATATAATTTATATTATATTAAATTGAATTCAAAGATTATAATTTATCTTGCAAGATAAGTCATGGAGATAATTATCAATAAATTATTGGCCAATAGGATTGTTTCTTCTCTTCCAAGTTATAAGAGATAAATATCAATTTAAAGAGAGCCAATCAAATCGCGCCACGTCATCAAGTAGAGTTTAAGTAGGACTCTTATTCTACCACTATAAATAGGGACCCTCTCTACACAATTCAAGACACAACTCAAAAAGAAGAAAAAACGTAGGAGAAAATTCTCTCTACAATATTCAAGTCGTTCCTCATCAAATTCAAGTCGTTCTTCATCAAATTCAAGGCGTTCTTCATCAAATCGAGGGAGTTCTTCATCAAATTCAAGGCGTTCTTCATCAAATCGAGGGCGTTCTTCAACAAATCAAGATCGAAGGAAGATTGAAGGGCCAAATCCATCAAGAACTCCAAGATCTTCAAGTCAAAACCCGTCAAAGTTCAACGTTCGATTCGAGATTCAAGTCGCAAGACCCTCGGAAGACGTTATTCAAATCCAAATCAAATCCGGAGAAGATCAAGTCAACGACCCGACTCCGAAATTCAAAGTCAAACACGTATTGTTCTTGAGAGAAGAATCAGAGGATTAAATTAGAGTTTGTAACCCGCAATATTTTATTTTAATTCAAAGTTCAAAATTATTTTTGTGCAATTTTTTCTTGTTTGTCTAAATCGCAGATAAGAATTTGTTGCTACAAATTTTGGCACGCTCGGTGGGACATCTCTACCTCTCATCTCTTCTCTCTCTCGAAGATCGTCGAAGTGTTGCAGTGACTGCTCTACGAAGACTGCTACTTCAGATTCATCAAGTGTGGGCTTAGTTACAAGGAGTATGGCTAAGAAGCTGCAAGCATCCTCAGAGACTAGCTCGACGTCCGAAACCATTCAGAAAGGCTTACCACCTCTTGTCAATATAAGCGCAGACATGGAAGGTTCAAAACGAGAGATTTCACAGCCCACGCCTCGTTCAACATCAATCTACTCAGAGGTGGCATCCGTCATGACAACAAACGCTACAACCATGGAAGAGCAAATTGCAAGTTTGACAAAGGCCATTGAGGGACTCGCAAAGCATGTTCAACAACGAGATTCTCAAATTGCCGAGTTGATCAACAAGATGGACAAAGCCGATGCTAGTCAAGCTGTGGAGAATCAGATAGAGGTTCAAGACGAAGTCGAGACATCCACAAAGCAACAACCAGTTGAAAACGAGAAGGCTCCAGCTCAAGAACTTCAAGTTTCTCCAGAAGGGATGATTCATGTAGATCAAGTGATGACGCTGATCAGTGGAACCATCAAAGACAAGTTGGAAGGAAGCTCGAAGTCTCCATCAACCTATGTCAAGCCATACACGCAAAGGATTGATGATCTAAGGATGCCAATGGCCTATATACCTCCAAAGTTTCAACAATTTAACGGCAAAGGCAACCCCAAGCAACATGTGGCACACTTCGTCGAGACTTGCAATGATGCCGGGACATACGGAGATCACCTCGTCAAGCAATTCGTCCGATCGCTCAAAGACAACGCGTTTGATTGGTACATTGATTTGGGCGCAAACTCCATTGATAGTTGGAAGCACTTGGGCATTTGTAGACACGTAAATTTAATATAATTTATATTATATTAAATTGAATTCAAAGATTATAATTTATCTTGCAAGATAAGTCATGGAGATAATTATCAATAAATTATTGGCCAATAGGATTGTTTCTTCTCTTCCAAGTCATAAGAGATAAATATCAATTTAAAGAGAGCCAATCAAATCGCGCCACGTCATCAAGTAGAGTTTAAGTAGGACTCTTATTCTACCACTATAAATAGGGACCCTCTCTACACAATTCAAGACACAACTCAAAAAGAAGAAAAAACGTAGGAGAAAATTCTCTCTACAATATTCAAGTCGTTCCTCATCAAATTCAAGTCGTTCTTCATCAAATTCAAGGCGTTCTTCATCAAATCGAGGGCGTTCTTCAACAAATCAAGATCGAAGGAAGATTGAAGGGCCAAATCCATCAAGAACTCCAATATCTTCAAGTCAAAACCCGTCAAAGTTCAACGTTCGATTCGAGATTCAAGTCGCAAGACCCTCGGAAGACGTTATTCAAATCCAAATCAAATCCGGAGAAGATCAAGTCAACGACCCGACTCCGAAATTCAAAGTCAAACACGTATTGTTCTTGAGAGAAGAATCAGAGGATTAAATTAGAGTTTGTAACCCGCAATATTTTATTTTAATTCAATAAAATTATTTTTGTGCAATTTTTTCTTGTTTGTCTAAATCGCAGATAAGAATTTGTTGCTACAACAGTATAATTACTGTTAATGACATTACAATTATGGTCAACGTTTGGCAGTGCGGGTAAAAAAACGGATAAAAATTTTGGGAAAGGAAAAAAAATCACTAAAAAAAGTCAATGCCGAAAACCGGCGGTGAAAAAAGCAAACATAAAAACAAAAAAAATCGAAAAAATTAATGCTGGAGACCGGCGGCAAAAAAATATTTTCAAAAAAGAAAAGTTAAAAAAAGAGGTCAACGCCGAAAACCGGCGGTGGAAAAAGCAAACATAAAAAGAAAAAAAAAATCGAAAAAGTTAACGCTGGAGACCGGCGGCAAAAAAATAATTTCAGAAAATAAAAGTTAAAAAAAGGTCAAAATTGATTAAATTGGGGTTACAATTAAGAATTGGGTGTACAAGGTTGGGGATAATTTTGTCATACACATTAATTTTTCTTTTATTTATAATACATATTAAAGGGATGAGAACCTAGAATAATAAAGATGGTTGCTCAGATATTTATATAAAAAACCCCCTAAAATGAAAAGGAGATAATATGGATAATGAGATAGCTAGGGAACCGGAAGAGTATAGCCACGTATATATATCAGAATTTCTTTTTATATTAATAATGTTTATGTATTAATGCATGGTGGTCTGTAAAGGATATGAATCTGCATGCAGGATTCGTATCTAGTAGGTAGACAATTTCGATCATGTGATGTATGTGTCCAAAAATTGATATAGCAAGTGGTCGAGTATATTATTATAAACAAAATATGAATAATTGGTTCACTATGTGTAATGTGTGGTGTTGAAGAACCTGCATGAAAAACGTGTAATTTTGTGGTCCAACTCAGAGTGTCGTATAGTGTAATAAAACTATGTAGTGAGTTTAAATAGACAAATTGGAAAGAAAGAAAGAAAGCCAGAATAGGAAAAAAAAATAATAGTGATAATGATGTCGTATTCATCTCTGTTGCTACAGCTGTTGTTGTTGATGAATTATGGGCAAGATGATGAAGTTATTAAAATTGAGAATATTAATAATTATGCAGTTGTTTTTGACGCTGGAAGCACAGGTACTAGGGTTCATGTCTATAGCTTTGACCGCAACATGGATCTCCTTCCTGTCGGCAATGACTACGAGTTTTTTCTTTCGGTAACTCCCCTTCATTATTAATTATATTTATTTTCATTTTTTTTTCGTTCGTTGATTCTTCTTTATGCGTATGAATGTGTATGTGTGCAACTGTGCATCTCGATCGATCTGGCGGGTGGCAGACAAAACCAGGTCTGAGTTCGTATGAGAATGATCCCGAAGGAGGTGCACAGTCGTTGAAGCCACTGCTGCAGAAAGCACAAGATGTTGTTCCTCAACAGTTTCTTGCTAACACACCTGTTATACTGGGGGTAATTATTAAGTATACATACAGTAGAAACTCGATAAATTAATAATCTGCTTAGTAATAGATTCTCCCGGTCCCGACTCAGTAAGAATATATTAAATTATTATTTCGATGATTTAATATTTCGCTAAATTAATAAAATTTTACTTGTCTCGACTGTATTAATTTATAGAGGTTCAACTGTATACGCATATCTATGTATTAAAATTTAGGGTAAATTCCACTTTACCCCCCTGTACTCTGCCCAAGAACCACTTTACCCCCTCGTACTCTTAATTTCGTCGATTTACCCCCTTGTACTTGTACAATTTCCCAATACAACCCTGTTCGTCAACTTTTTTCGATTTTGACTCTGACGCCATTTGGTCAAGAGTCAAAATATTGACGTAAATATTGAATTTTTTCGATTTAGACTCTCGAGATTAGAAAAGAGAAAGTTTCACACATTCATATATTGTTTTCTTTGCACTGGGTGGAATCGATCAATTTTTGGGTCTTGATTTTTACTAAGTTAGGGGTTCAATTTGGGGATATCTTGGAAGGGGAAGTGGTGGGAGAAGAAGAAATGACAATGTTGACGGAGGAGAAACGACGCGTTATAGGCAGTGGCAATTTTGTAATTTACAGAGTTGACCAAATGGCGTTAGAGTCAAAATTGACAAAAATTGAAGGAAAGGGTTGTATTGGGAAATTGTGCAAGTACAAGGGGGTAAATCGATAAAATTGAGAGTACGAGGGGGTAAAGTGACTCTCAGGCAGAGTACGAGGGGGTAAAGTGGAATTTACCCTAAAATTTATAGAGGTTCAACTGTATATGCATATCTATGTATTAAAATTAATAAAATTTTGCTTGTCCCGACTGTATTAATTTATAGAGGTTCAACTGTATATGCATATGTATGTATTATGCATCTTCTTCTTCTTCTTCTTCTTCTTGGTATTAATAATGATAATAAGAAGCGATATATGAACAGGCAACAGCAGGTCTGCGGCAGTTACCAGCCAGTGCAACTGAAGCCATATTAGATGCGGTAAATAGCTATTAGTCTAATATAATTCATAGTGTCAATACTGTATTGTTGTTGATTTGATCCATCTCCACCTAACCCTCATACAAAATATATTTGTTAATAATTTCACTGTTAAATATAATGTGGTTGTGGCTCTAAGGTGAGAAATCTTTTCAAGAATGAAAGCAAGTTGAGTTACAAGGCAGATTGGGTATCTACTCTTCAAGGAACTGACGAAGGTGCTTATCAGTGGGTAAGTAATCTCGATCCCGGCCACATTTTAATTTCTTGGATTGGTGTTGATGAATGCTAAAAATTAGTTTACACAAAAAATGCAGGTGACAGTGAACTATTTATTAGGGACATTAGGTAAAAAATACTCGAGTACTGTAGGTGTGGTTGATCTCGGAGGTGGATCAGTGCAAATGGCTTATGCTATCTCAGACAAATCTGCAGCAAATGCACCTAAAGACGAGGATGCCTATGTCATGGACAAACTTGTAATGGGAACTAAATATAACCTCTATTCTCACAGTTACTCCAACTATGGCCAGAAAGCAGGTCGAGCCCAGAGTCTTAATCTTTCTGGAGACGCTGGCAATCCATGTGTCACAAATGGTTATCAAGGTATATAAATATTTAATTCAATATTTAATATTAAATGTTGTCGAATTAGAATTACCATGGCAAGGTATTGAATTGTTTATGTGTATGTGTTGAAGGAACGTACGAGTACTTGGGGGTAGTTTATAATGTATCAGCTCCCCTGTCTGGCACAAGCATGAGGAGATGCAGAGCATTAATGAGAAAGACACTTAGAGTTGATGCCCCGTGCAACCACACATACTGCTCCTTTGACGGTGTTTGGAGCGGTGGTGGTGGACTTGGTCTGAAAAACTTGTATGTGGCATCATACTTCTATGACACAGCTGCTGAGGTCTGAATATTTTTACTATTAATTAATTATAATAACAATCTTGACGATGACATGAATACTAACAATCCGAAATGCAGACGGGCTTGGTGGAAGCAGATGCACCATCAGGCAAGATTCGTCCAATATATTACAAGAATGCAGCAAAGAAGGCATGCAGCGCCACAGTGGACAACATCAAATCAATTTTCCCTCTACTTGATGAGAGAGATGTGCCGTTTTTGTGCTCGGATCTGATATACGAGTACACGATGCTGGTTGATGGATTTGGGGTAAATCAGTTGAAAGAAATCACGGTGGTCAAACAATTGGAGTACAAGAAAGATTCTTCATTACCATTACTTGAGGCGGCATGGCCACTCGGCTGTGCAGTTGAACTTGTCTCGTCACTCGTCAATTAATCGGCTATGCAGTTGAACTTGTCCCATTACTCGTCAATTAATCGTTCATCAGCCAGTCCTTATGTCAATCCATTGTTGTGGGATTTATGTATTTAATCCTACACAACCATAATAAACTGTGGATTCGACAAGAAACATTGAGAAGAATACTGTCAGATTTTTATTTATTATTAAGCAAAAATATTAATATAAGTTCATCAAACCCTAGTTACTACAAACAACCTAATTAATATATTATACAAAAAAGATACTTTATAAACTACAAATTAAAAGAAATAACCTTATAAGCCTTCTACTGTAAAAAGAAACTAAAATTAAAAGTAAAGCAACAAAACCGAAGTTTTGAAAGCTAGTTGGTGGCGGCCCGAGCTTCCAATAGTAAGCATGGTAAGGATCATAGGAATATAAAAGGCTCAATTTAACATTTCCTAGACTGCTTGCAATAACCAGTTTTGTCTACAATCATTCTCATGTCTGGATGAGGCAATATTGGCAAAGGACCCTGCATCTTTCAACCTGCAATTTCCAAAAAAACAACCATTGTCAGAAACACACCTAAACAACACCAACCAAAGAAAAAAAAAAAAAACAGTTCTACATGTCATCATTCTCTCTAATTCATCTTGTGACAGTTAGGATCAATGTGAATAGTGATCAAAACAGATAGAGAGAAAGGTCAATGGTATTAGACAAGCCCTAACCGTTCTGATTCGAAAACTTTTATTTAACTTTATGCAGGAAAACTTAATAACAGAATTTTGAAATCAAATTCATCTTAAGAACATAATCACATAATTGGGATTATCGACATACCGTTAGCCATGGATTCTGATAGAGATGATGAACGAGGATGATAACAATCTACAAGCCAAGTCCTCTCCAAATCTCCTTGTGAGAACCTTTTCGTAGGCACACCTTCTTCTCTCTATCTCTCCAATATCACAACTCACTGGTATTCTGTAAGTGATGGAATTCTCAAATTGCTTATGTTGGTTGAGGAGAAGAGTTGTGGATTCTTTTATAGACGAAAGTGGAGACTTTTGAACCATCATGTCAAGAGAAAAAGTGGAGACTTTTGAACTCTTAAACAAATCGAGTTAGTTAATAAGTCCGTAGAGGTGAAGCAATAATCCCAAAAGCTAAATCTTAGCGAAAACACCTCGAGTCAAGAACGTGAGCTAAAAAGTCCTTCAGTACAACTCTTAGTTACTAATTGTAAGATAAAAGAAGGGTAGCCACTTTTACCCAAATTTCCTACCTTGTACCAAAAGCCCAATATTTGAAAGCCAAAAAGTCCGAATGATCTCAATATCTCAATTGTTTGATACTGACCGAGTAAAGAATTTTGGTAAGTCTTCGGAGTCGAACATTATTATGTAAGTATAAATTTTCTCCATTTTTAGATTACAAATATGGGATACTTGAAGCAATAGCATGGTTTGTGATTTTTAGCAATGGTAAGTGAATATGTATCTTTGAATTGCGAGCTTGCAAATTTTTTAGAGTCGTCATGATAATTGCAAATTCTGAAAGCGTGAAATTGACCATTAATCTATGTGATGAGGGGTATTTGTTGAAAGTGTTGCTTTGAAAGTTGCTAGTTTTTGCTTGAGGACAAGCAAAAGTTCAAGTTTGGGGGTGTGTTGAGTGTATATTTTACACTCAATATATACCTTCTTACGAGGATTTTTTGTATACTTTTTGTGACACCCATTCTCTGATTATACCTAATTAGTATTTTAGAATATGATAGCGGAAGACTTTGAAATATATTAATCGGGAATAGAAAATTCCGACAAAATTTTTCTTTTAGAATTAGAGGAAGAGTGTCCACATATTACCAAACAACATTCACTTAATCAATTTCACAAACTATGCATGAATGACTAGAGATTAAGTCCCATTTTAGCAAAGTGAGAAAATTTTGGACAGTTTCGATCTATCAATCAAACAAATTAATAACTCTCTAACCGCTCATGAAAAACACTTGAAATTTTTACCACATGCTCTAATAAGGGCCTATATAACCTAGTAAAGACATTTTTTAAATACCGTGAGCCATTTGAAAGGAATAATTAAAATGGTACAACTGTACAGTTTGAAAATCTAAAGCAGAGGAGTGACCTTTGAAAAATCTTTATAAATTCCCTACTGTTTAAAAAATCATCAAATTATATACTAAAGTACATTAGTAAGTTAGGAGTATATCCCAAGTGGAATAAATCCTTTTTAGTCAGAAAAACTTCGTATTATATTGTAAATACTACAATGACTCTGTTTCAGAGCAGAGTTGGTAAAAAATCCGTAATTAATTCATGGCTTATCCAAATAATGCAAAAGACCTATCAAAATGAACCTAACAGAGAGACCTATGATCCTGTAAAATATCATGCAATAATGTATACAAGAGATAATTAACACGAATTATTAAACTATTAGGCAGAACACAACACATAACTAGCCGATGGGCATTTTATAAGGTTTTTAGGAAAACTTGCCCTAAAGTTACATAAGTTTTTGAGGAATTATCATAACATATATAAAAATAGGTAATCTTAGTCCTATGTCACATTACACATTATGCATCAATTGTAAGTTCCTCCAATAGGCGGAAGGGAACGATAATAAACACCTAAAACGGTGTCGAATGTCTTTAAGAGCAAAATGTACAAATAAAACCACATTAGTATATTAAGAGCACCCAAAATCCACCTTGCCTCCATATGAAATCTTCTCCCGATGCACGAACTCAACTTCAACCACGAACCTCGGGCTCGAAATCGGGTAATCCTACAAGCAATTAAACACCTATATGAGTCTTTGAGACTCAATGAGAATTCCATAGAATATCAAATACACTTAGACAAGGAATCATATAATCATACATATACATACATGTACAAGTATATATATACCTTAATCACCATTTCTTTAAGGAAATTTACCGATTTACCTTTACCTTCTCGGTTTACCTCTTAGAACTTTTCGATTTACCTCTTAGACCTTCCTTTCATCATTTCATAAGGAATAAGAGGAGATCCCTTACAAGGGAGTCATTCTTTTACACATACATTCATTCATTTCAAGCAAGTTCACTAGGTGTGTGAGAAAAACATTTTTATTCGGATATCCTTTGGAAAATCAAGAAAAACCTTAGACAATAATCCTTCATTTATTTGGAACCAATTTCATAAGTGGAATCAAACCACACACTCTTCATCTCATTTTTGGGGTACCGGTCCCTCATACCCCGTGCTTATTCGATCTAAGTTTTACAAGATTTCCCAATTTTAAAAACGTGCATGTGAGGTTAGTACATACTTTCATTCATTTCAAGCAACTTGATTAGGCGTGTGAGAAAAACATTTTCGTTCGGATATCCTTTGAAAAATCAAGTAAAACCATAGACAATAAGCCTTCATTTATTTGGAACCCGTTTCATAACTGGAATCAAACCACACACTCTTCATCTCATTTTTGGGGTACCGGTCCCTCATACTCCGTTCTGATTCGATCTATGTTTTACAAGATTTTCCAACTTTAAAAACGTGCACGTGAGGTTAGTATATATCCTTCATTTCACGTATTCAAAGTTAGCTTTCACATAGGCACACATATTTCCACATATTTCACAAAGGCACATAGTTTAGTCACAAAATCACAAAAGCATGTAAGACACATAACAACTCAAGCAAATAACATAAATCACATATTTTACACACATAACAAAAGTAGCTCAAAGCATTCGGTTATTTATAATTACTATCTCCAAGTTTCATTAATTAAGGTTCAAGCCCTCTTTCTCAAGAGGCTTGAAGTTTTTTTTCAAGTAACACCGAATTTCCATTTATTTCATTTTCTTTCTAGATCTTCACATGCAAGATCAGATTAAGAGTTTTTAATACTCATTCTTGTAATTACTACATGTATTAGCAATTGAAACATTTTCATCAAAAGATTTTGAATCATCAACAATTCATGAATCACACAAAATTCCAATTTTATTAATCTTGTTCTCGGTTTTTATCTTCGTATATTATCTTATTACTCATAGATCATAAACCATGGATTGCAAGCTTCCTCGACCCGAAGGGAGTACACTTACAAACACGCAGGTCGATATATATACACATAGAAACATATACTTATATATAGCACATATATATTATAAATAAACCATGGATCAAGTACTTTCTTCGACCACGCAGGTTTACGAAAACCATGGATCAAAGTGTCCTTAAGATCATGCATGTCTAGTATATATAAAAATAAAATTACAATATTATTCTTAGTTCTTCAAGATTATATCATTTAAAGCATAGATTCTTACATGCATGGATGATCAAAGCATAAATTAAACGCAAAATTTTATTTTCTTCCTCCTTTAGTTTTCGGTCATCACAAGAACATTAACAATAAATTAAAGAGAAGAAAAAATACTATTGGTGTTGAAGCACTTGTAGCAAGAATTCGAAAATTCTCACCTAGTTTCTCTTGGGAATATGAATGAATTGGTGGATTGAATAACCCACTACAAGAACCTTAAAAAAATCAGAAGAAAACATTAGGGAATTTTCAAAATTGAAAAGGAAGAAGAAAAATGAGAGCTTTCTTACATTTCTAGTTGAAGAAACTTCTTTTTGGAAATGAGGAGAGATTTTGAGCTTCGTACACTAATAATTTCGAAATGGAGGAGAAGAAGAGAGAATGATGTTTTCTTAAGAGCTTTAAGATATGGTGGATGAGATGAAAATTCATTTGGGTGTTGGGTTCTATTTATAGAGTTTTGAAAGCATTTGGGGGTTTTCTTGGAATTTCCTCTCTAGGTGGGTTGAATTGGAGATGGTTCTATGGCTTGAGCTTGAGTAAAAATGGAGTCTTGGTGAGGGGATGGTGGTGATGGCCGAATTTAGAGAGAGGAAGAAGAGAGAGAGAGAGAGTGGGTTTCAAATGCTTAGGTGGAGAGAGAGAGATATAGTAAGTGGGTCTTGAATTAAAATGTAAAGTGAAGTACCATTCTCAATGAAGAAAGTACAAATCACTTAAGCCTTCAATTCTCCCAATTAATGAGTCTTTCTACATTAAAGAATTCTACACATGGAAAATAAAATCCATGTATGTCTCCACATGGCCGAAAATTACAAGAAGAGTGGGAAATTTTTTATTTCTAAGTTTATTCACTCATTTAATTA